GTGCTGCTGTCGCTGGTGGACGGCGGCCAGGCGCCCAAGGCCTCTGTGTCGGCGTCTGCGGGCGCCGCGGGCTCGGAGGCGGCGCTGGTGGACGTGAACGTGTACCTGATCGTCGCCATCTGCGCGGTGTCCAGCCTGCTGGTGCTCACGCTGCTGCTGTACACGGCCGTGCGGTGCTCGGCGGCGCCGAGCGGGGGCGCGTGCGGGCCGGGGCAGCCCAGGCTGGTGTGCCCGGGCGCGGGGGGCAGCTGGTCGGCCTCGCAGCAGAGGCGGCCGCGGGTGTGCTCTGGGGAGGGCGCGCCCAAGACGGACCTCATGGCCTTCAGCCCCAGCCTTCCTTCGTGTCCAGTACCAAAGGTTGAAGATGAAGAACAACCTATTGGAGGGAACCCCTCTAGGAAGGTGGGTATTACTTTTAATTTTCATATTTTGTTTTGGGAATACTTTATTTCACCACTTTTCCTTTCATACACATGTCTTGGAATATCTTCATTCTTTGTATAGCATATTTCTAGAATACCTTAAATATATCTGGAAATACCTATTGTGACATAGTTTATTTTCAAAGTTTATTTTATATTTTGTCTGGTGTATTCTTTGCATGAACTTTTGCTTGATACGTCAATTTAAAAAATTTGCCATTTATCCTGAAATATTTATATATTTAATACAAATATTTAATGTGGTTGTAGGTTTTTAAAAGAAGCCTTTATGCCTTAGGCAGTTTTGCTCAGTGGTTAGATCGTGGCCCAGGGACTCAGTTCCAGCCAAGGGCAGTCCTGGCTGCAGGCTCTGCCCAGGTTGAGGCTCCCTCCGGAGGCAACCAGTGGATCTCTCTCTCTCTCTCTTTCCCCTCCACTCTCTCAGAAAAGCAATGGAAAAAATATCCTCGGTCAGGATTAAAAAATAACAATAAAAAATAAGCCATTATCTTTTTTTAATGTTACAGATGTAGGATTAATACTTTAATTCACAAGTTTACTTATTTTTCCAAATCTAAAGTTTAAAATGACCCTGTTACAGTCACAAAAAGAATGACCTAATCCATTTTCTTCATGGTAAAATTGTACTCTTTGCTCCCTAAGTAAAGAATGGATGTAGTGTAACATAACTTATAATGCATAATAGATCTTCAATATTCAATGTTCATACTTTATTCTTTATTTTTTAAAAATATATCTTTATTGATTTTAAAGAGAGGAAAGGAGAGGGAGAAAGAGAGAGGAGAAACATCAATGATGAGAGAGTCATTGATTGGCTGCCCCCTGCACACCCCTGACTGGGGCTCAAGCCCGCAACCCAGGCATGTGCCCTGACCAGGAATCGAACCCCGATCACCTGGATGCTAGGTTGATGCTCAACTGTTGAGCCACACAGGCTGAGCCATACTTTATTCTTAACATTCCAGTATGATGACTAGAAGTTCATTCATAAGAATGTTCCAATCTATAGAATTGTGTTTTAAGCTTTTAAAATGTTTTTATTTTATTTCGGTGTGGTGATACCTGTGTCAGTGTGTATTGCTTATTTTAGCAGCAGAAAAAGTTTCAGTTATTTATATAATTTTACACAGTAGCCTTTATCTTCTCATTCATCAGAATGAGGCGCTGCTGGTGATAGTCAAATATTAGCTCTTTCACTTTGAGAAAGAAGTCATGATTATGTTTACTAATGGAGAGCATTTGAAAATCACCTTTAATTTTAGGAGATTGAAAAGGATTACTTTCATCCAAATTAATATTAGAAGTTTGAAGAGAAAATGGAAGTATCTTCTTAGAATGTTTTCTACTGCTCTGATATCATACAGTGCAATTTCATCATCTTAAACAGGGTGGTGCTGGGTAATGTAGGCTTTGAAATGCTAAACAATTAAATGACATGGTGGCCAACACTACCGTATTAATTACACCTTTCTGAAACTGGTTGTTACCCAGTATCTAGAATTTTATTTTAAAATTTTTATTAGTTTCAGTGTTACCAAATAGCAATGCAACTCATTTATATTCTTGACTGTGGTTTTTAGCAATTATTTTCTCCTTTCAGTATGCAGATTAAATTTTCCCTCTATGTGCTTCATAAATAGCTTCTAAAGAAAACCTGATATCTCTATTGAAGTTTAGGAACACAAAAAAGAATTGTGGCAAGACATTAAGAATGGCATTGCCTTCAATATTAATATTTTCCATGGCCAGTCTCCAACTTTTAGAGATTGTAGATGGTAAGCTATGCAGAGCATTTCAATTCGTGTATAGAATTCATCCTCTTATACCTGCCCCCTCTCTCAGACCTTTACATCAGTGTGCCCTCTGCAGAAAAGCCTTGTCTAAAAGATAACTCCTGATGTGAGCTATTAATGGAACATAAAATTATGTTTACCGATTTAGTGCTATTGATTTTATTTTGCCTTCTTCTGGACATGTTTCCTTTAAAAATACAAGTATTCATAAAATATTAACATAACAAGTTAGGATTTTTATCCAGCAGCATAAAAATCTTAAAGTCTATGGAGAAGGAAGTGCAGAAAGGAGAGGAAATGAGGAGATGGTTCAGAATGAGAAGCTGAGAGACAGCAAAGACAAATTTTCCTGATTCTAGTTTGATAGTGTCTTCCTCTGGCTCTATTATAGACATAACTATTCTTTAAAACTTTGTGAACATTTGTGAACAGTTAGTTTCTTCCATTCAATGAAGAATGATTGAATTTTCAGAATAAAAACGTAAGTTTTCTCAAATCAAGGAATGCTTTTAGCCCAGCCAGGCGTGGCTCAGCGGTTGAGCATAGACCTAGGATCCAG